CAAATGAAAAATGCAATGAGGTTAAATATAATTCACAGAAAACACAGGATCCTGTAAGATTTTAAAATACAAAGCTAGAGCTCAGAAAAAAAGGCGCCAAAACTATAAAATGATTAAACTCGCGATTTCGTCCATCCGCGGTAGTTCGGGAGTCCATACATGGCGTAGAAGAGCTTGAAGACAATAGAAGAACGAAGTGACAAAGTAGACTAGTTGATGAAAGGTTCAGTTGAAGGTGGAGTAGAAATGACGACTCTCGTCATTTGTCGGTACCGTAAAACAAAGGGATACTTGCGAGGTCTTGAAAGATGAAGTGGCTTTGTCTAGGGCAATGCTGGTGGCTGTGTCTAGGGACGCTCCAATGTCTTGGATGCCGAAGGAAATGATGGTTCTCCGACGTGCTGGACAGCTGTTGGTCTCGGACGTCGGGGATACCGATGGATCTTGGAAGTGCTGGAGCAGGCAATGTGGTGTCTTGAGGGCAGATCGGGGAACGCGCAGAGGGCTCCGCCTAGCTCTCCCTTGAAGTGACACGGTCCAGTCTTTTTAGCCTAAAACAGAGAGTTACATGGTGGTCCATGCCACATTACTAATATTATCTAACACTACGAAGTCAGACTAAAATGGCCGACTTTTCTACATGTAAATAACACACTTCCGTAATCACACATCATGTGCGAAACTTTAAATTGAATGTTAACCTATATGTTAATTAACATGCACAGAAAAACTCTTCATTATAGAAAAATATCAAAGAAATCAACTTGTCGCCTAGTACTTCTTAGACAATAATCTAACGTATTCACTTTGAACGACTTTAAAACCAGGCACGATCAAAGGATTACTTTTCTCAGTCTCGTACTTGAGACATAAATAAAAATAAAGGAACTCCAACTCCTAATCGAACTGTTATGTACGGGAAAACTAACTTCCAAAACTTAATCATGAGATAACCTCAAATGTAAATCTCTAAGTTTCGATCCATCAAAAATAATATGCAAACACCAAAACTAAGAACCTACAATTTATATTACACAAGTGTGCATCTTTTCTTGTGTAACCCAAAACTCTATCACAAGACATCAGTTTGTGTCTTTGAGTTTGGGTAAATCAAATCACAAGAAAATAGTCAAATATTCGTAAAGTACTTAACCAAGTACCGTAAGTCGCAACCGTGGAATAGAACTTCAACAAAATAGCTAATCAGTCCAGACTGTAGGACTTTAGTCAGTTTACCACAGAAACATCACAGATACGATGGGTGGTAAATCATGACTCCATAAAAATACAAAATCTGCACACAATGCTGAATAAAATCTGGAGCAATACTCATTCTTGGTTTGACCTCAAACCACTACATGTAACTTCAAAGATAAAATAGAAAATACACAGATCCAGTTTACTACACAGTTTGCTAAAACACTTGTCTAAAGGTAGCAATAAAAGATGCAAAACTCTCCAATTGAATATCCTTTTAGAATCTCTCAGAACATCATTAACCTTGGTAATAATATACACAAAAATGCCAAAGTCTCTACTCTTATGAATTTGTCTAGACTCACTAAAATTTGTGAAGTCCAGACTTCATAGAAAAATCAATTTAAGCGATTCTCTTCACAACTTACAAAAGTCACAGTGAAAAGGTAATGATTATGATAATCTAAACATGATAAATAATTACTCAACTTACCTAAAACAGAGAGCCAACATTCGTGCAAAAAGGAGGGAACTTGGAATCAGGATCCTCCAATCGAACAACAAAAATGATGCAAAATGGCTGGTGAAAATGGCAGGCATGCAGTCAGCACGATGGCAGAATCAGGAATGCCAAGCTCTGCAAAAATTTTGGGGCAGCTAGCACCAAGACCATGCCCTGATCACATGACTAGCCAGGCTCTCATTGGTCAAACTTCAAATTGTCACACAAGACTCTAATACTGATTGGTCATTTAGTAACCAGGCAGATGAACACTCAGCAGAGTTTGTGGTTTTCACAGCTTCTGCAAGGTGTGATCAACAACCAGGGATTAAGTGTCCCTACATCCTGCTTAGCTCCTGAAGGAGTACACAACTGGGGCACCAGTCAGTAATAAAAGGCAGAGGACACAAAAGACATCCTCTATTCTTCCAGGAAGTGGGCAAGATCAAAGACAGGCTTTAACAAAAGTAGGAAAAGATCAAAGGTCTACTGGAACACAAGTCACCAGTAGAAAAGATGAAACATCATAAAAGATTAGAAAAGGGGAATTATGCAAATAGTAAACACAGTCATATAAAGTAATACTATAACCCAAGACCTCTTTTTGGGTCAGGGTTACATCCTCCCCTTTCTTAACTTGCTACCTCCGGGAGCAAAATAAAAGAAAACAAGGAAATATATACATATATACAAATCTAATAGCCAAAAATCTTCTTCTTAAACTCGGCAAACATCCGAGGCGTTTGGAACTGCCGGCTAAACACTGGTTGTCCTCTCTCCTCAAACTTCATCCGTACGGGTGGTCTTGACACTCGAGTCGAGCGTCTGACAACATCCAGACGACATCCTGTATCTCACCTGTGCCCTTCAGTCGACCTTCGAGTTTCTCCATCTTAACGCGCTGTTCCTCCTCAAACTGCTGATCAAGCTTAGGGGAATGGGGCCTGCGGGACAAAGCATCTGCATCAACGTTGGTCCGCCCTGGCTTGTAATGGATGGAGAAATCGAAGTTTGACAAAGCCGCCAACCAACGGTGCCCAGTTGCGTCTAGCTTGGCCGAGGACAGAACATAGGTGAGTGGATTATTATCCGTCATCACCTTAGTTCCTTTGGCCATGTACAGGTAGTCGCGGAATTTGTCAGTGATGGCCCACTTCAATGCTAAGTACTCTAGCTTATGGGCCGGGTAGTTTTTCTCACTGTGAGATAAACCCCGACTACCATAAGCTACAGGACGAAGTTTCCCATCGTGATCTTGGTAGAGTACTCCGCCCAAACCATCACGACTGGCATCGATGTGTAGCACAAATGGCTGGGACGGATCGGCAAATGCTAGGACAGGAGCGGACATGAGACGATCTTTCAAAGTGAGGAATGCCGTCTCGCACTCTGCCGTCCACAGTTCGCCAAGTGGGTCGTCGGCCTTCCGAGCATGAGGGTCGGACGCCACTCTTGGTGCTGGTCGACCCCGCTTCTTTGGGTAGACACACCCAACAGTGAGGTCATTTAGCGGGCGGGCAATTTTCGAATAATTCTCAATGAAGCGCCGATAATAACCTGCAAAACCAAGGAATGATCGAACTTGTTTCACATTCAGAGGTCGAGGCCATGTCTCCAGAGCAGACATCTTTTCTGGATCGGTCTGCACTCCTTTCTCTGAGACTATATGCCCGAGATACTTGACAGACCTACAGCAGAATTGACACTTTTCAGGAGACACTTTCAGTCCAAACTCGGCGAGACGATCAAGAACCTTCATAAGTCTCTCTTCCATCTGGTCTAAGGATTGACCAAAGATGATGAGATCGTCCATGTAGACTAATACTTCAGTCATGTTGATTCCAGACATGCAGGTTTCCATCAACCTCTGGAAAGTTGCAGGAGCACCCTTGACACCTTGAGGCATTCGTTCGAACTGATAGAAACCCAAAGGACAGATGAACGCCGTCTTTTCTTTGTCCTCTTGGCGCATGGGTATCTGATAGAACCCAGATTTCAAGTCGATCACTGAAAACCAACTGCTGCCGTTCAGACAATCAATCGCCTCCTGTATGAGTGGGACAGCGTATTGATCAGGTATTGTGCGTGCATTCAGTGTACGATAATCAATACACATTCGCAAGCTACCATTTTTCTTGCGAACCAGCACAATCGGTGAAGCGTATGGGCTGCGTGATTCTCTGATGATGTCGTTGTCTAACAGCTGCTGCAAGTGTAGCCTCAAATCCTTCAGATCAGCTGGAGCCACCCTTCGTGATCGTTCCCTAAATGGAGAGCCATTTTCAAGGTTGATCTGGTGCTCAGCTTGTTGCGTGCGTCCTAAATCCCAGTCATGCTGTGAGAAAACTTGAGATCTTAATCTCATCTTGTCAAGAATTTGTCTCTTCCTTTCAGGGGAGATCGAACCCCAGACAAAAGGAAGGTTGTCAAAATCATGATCAGAGGGCTTGGAGTGGACATTGTTGCTCGTAGTTGCCTTGGCGCAAAAGTTTGCGCTTGAAGCCTTCATTGGCTCCCTCATGTTCGGAGCCTCGTGACACCATTCAGGAACGAAAACGTCTGCCAAAGGACAATTTCCTGGGACTGTTATCTTCCGATTGGTACGGTTGGCAACCACTACATTTACGGTGCATGTGGAGTTCCCGGGGAGTTGAGTGACAAGAGGTGTCACTTCTAAACCCATCGGCAGTCTACGCTTTTCTTGAGCTTCGACCAGCACAGTCACTGGTTTTCGCAGAACATTCCGCAAAAACCCACAGACAGACTTCTGCTCGCCAGGTTGAAGGGTGAGAACACGTTTCGACCGAGTTCTGACCGTCCCAAGCTTGCCATCATCAGGAATTTTGTTCCTGTCAGCGATGTCCTTGTAGATCTTTCGGCATGTAGCACTGATATTCAGACTCTGTACAAACCGGTGCCCTGCCTGCTGCCTACATGACTCAAAACAACTGCGGAAAATACCTGAATTTGTCCCTACTATGACTGGCTGGGTACTGGAGTTTCGCCCATCTGGGACGACCAAAGCAAAGGTGTTGAACTGACTACTGGTCCCACTGAAGGAGTCGTCAAACCCCATAGAGACATAAGTCCAACCCAAGTATGGCATCTTTCCATCACCTCCATGAAACAAAACAAGATCGTTAAGAGGGTGCAGTTCACGGTTGAGACAGTCAAAGAAACATTTGGATATCAAAGTTACTTGAGAACCACTGTCTAGTAAGCAGTGGGTGTTGAGTCCATCAACCCAACACCGCGGTGTGATTGTGTCACCAATCAATCCCTGAGGAACATCTGTCCCTGTCTCGTACCGAACCTTGGGGTTTACTGGCGTTCGGACATCTGGGTCCCCTCCTGCAGATGTCCTTGCCCGTTTCCCGACGGTCCACCAAGAACAAACTTGATCAACTTTCTGTTGACAACTTCAGCGTTGGCCGGGTTCATGCATCTCCGGCGGATGTGTCCTTCCTGGCCACACGAGAAACAAAAATCTACCAGAGTGCCCCTCTCATGGCCTCGGTCAGGGTTCTGGCGGGGTTGCCGTCCTTTTGCAGGGCCTCGGAAACCATGAGTCGACGTCTGTGGAGTGGAATGCTGCATTGGCGAAGCATTCTGGTAGAAGAATTGTGCCTGAGGATTGACAGAGTGGGAGAAATGTGCCTGAGGATGGGCAGAGTGAGAAAAATGTGCCTGAGGATCGGCAGAGTGAGAAAACTGAGTCTGAGGATTTGCAGCATGCTGTAGGTGCTGGGCCTTTCCCGGTCCTCTGGTCGGACGACCACGACTTTCTGACTTGAGTCTGGTCTCGTCCTCCTGTTTCCTAACCATGGACAGCAGGCTCAGGAACGATGGTGGCTGATCCATCTTGTCCCTAAGTTGTAGGTTGACCAGTAGCATCTCGTCGAACAGAATACCACGGATGAATTGGCTAAGCCGCACCCTGTTGGACTGGGCATGAGGGACAACACCCCTCCTCAGTGCTCGCCTCAACACATTCTGCAACCTCGTCAGAAACTTTGATGGAGACTCGCCTTGGGTCTGAGTCAAACTGTGAAATTTCACAAATAACTCGTCGTCCGTCTCAGTGTCGCCGAACGCAATGTCGAGAGCCTTCAAATACTCATGTGACATAGCAGCAGGGTTGTCTCGACGCAGATCGTTGATGATGTTCAGTGAGGGTGGACGCAAAGCCTCGCGAATGCGTTTCCTCTTCTCGGCATCATCAAGATCCTGCCACTCATCCATCTGCCCCTCGACATGGTCTATCCAGGAGACGTAGTCATCTTCATCACGGGACGGTGTGGAGGAACCAGAAAAACATCTGAGCTTTCTGTAGTTTGCTGCCAGAGTACAGCGAGCAAAAGATCTAGTGAAGTCGGAAGGAAGAGATTGTTGGGAAGAAGAATTAGAATCTGAAGTGGACGGAGACTGAGATGCAGGAGTCCTCTCTCTCAGGTTCCATGCGTTCAGCACACCACTCTTCCGTAGGTGGCTAATGGTGACACGCTTTGATGGGGAGTCATCCAGCCGGATGACTCGACAGAGTGTCGATGACCCGTGACAGCTGAGATTAATCTCGGTCCTTAGTCCTAGAGAAGAGATGGGCTGAGAGAAATCACAGAGGAAAATAGCAGAACTCTGGTCATCAGTGTCTTTCCTAGAAAGACCTTCCAATGAAGGGAAAATATCATGCAAAGAGCAGGCAAGAATATCTGTATCTTCAACCAATGGGCTAGACAGTTGAAATGTCAACAAAACAGAGTGAGTGGGTCGGAGATCATCCTTCTTACACCAATCCACACCCTTCTGTCTGAGTGCTGCATCCGCCATAGTGCGACACAAGTGAAATTTGAACAAACAGAAAATACAATACGCATAGAAAAATGGGGAATAGCCAAAAAATGGGAATTTGCACGGATGTTGGCTCTCTTGGCAAGTATAAAAATAATTCACAGGATAAATAATATACCTTTGAGAAAACAGTTAGCGTCAATCAATAGAGCAATAGCAATCACAGAGTAAATAACATATGAGATAAAACAATTTGCATCAATCAACGGAATAGCAAGTCACAGGGTAAATAATGGTGAGAGTAACCGTTAGCATCAATCACTGAACAATATCAAACAATAAATACCGACTCTTAATCCAACAACAAAACAAAATCAATGTGCACACAAATCCCTTATACTCAAAGTCAAGTCAAATCAAAAAATAAAATATTTCCCGGACAAGCCCCCAAAATGTAACCCGTGGTTCACATTCCAAAATAACAGGAACCAAATTTTATATTAATTCAACTCCCTTTTGAAAAAGAACTCTTGACTTCACACAATTCGGGATTTACGTACACAATGAAATATGTTTTATTGCCAGAAATAAAGTGGTCTCAAGCAATGGCAATACAAATGAAAAATGCAATGAGGTTAAATATAATTCACAGAAAACACAGGATCCTGTAAGATTTTAAAATACAAAGCTAGAGCTCAGAAAAAAAGGCGCCAAAACTATAAAATGATTAAACTCGCGATTTCGTCCATCCGCGGTAGTTCGGGAGTCCATACATGGCGTAGAAGAGCTTGAAGACAATAGAAGAACGAAGTGACAAAGTAGACTAGTTGATGAAAGGTTCAGTTGAAGGTGGAGTAGAAATGACGACTCTCGTCATTTGTCGGTACCGTAAAACAAAGGGATACTTGCGAGGTCTTGAAAGATGAAGTGGCTTTGTCTAGGGCAATGCTGGTGGCTGTGTCTAGGGACGCTCCAATGTCTTGGATGCCGAAGGAAATGATGGTTCTCCGACGTGCTGGACAGCTGTTGGTCTCGGACGTCGGGGATACCGATGGATCTTGGAAGTGCTGGAGCAGGCAATGTGGTGTCTTGAGGGCAGATCGGGGAACGCGCAGAGGGCTCCGCCTAGCTCTCCCTTGAAGTGACACGGTCCAGTCTTTTTAGCCTAAAACAGAGAGTTACATGGTGGTCCATGCCACATTACTAATATTATCTAACACTACGAAGTCAGACTAAAATGGCCGACTTTTCTACATGTAAATAACACACTTCCGTAATCACACATCATGTGCGAAACTTTAAATTGAATGTTAACCTATATGTTAATTAACATGCACAGAAAAACTCTTCATTATAGAAAAATATCAAAGAAATCAACTTGTCGCCTAGTACTTCTTAGACAATAATCTAACGTATTCACTTTGAACGACTTTAAAACCAGGCACGATCAAAGGATTACTTTTCTCAGTCTCGTACTTGAGACATAAATAAAAATAAAGGAACTCCAACTCCTAATCGAACTGTTATGTACGGGAAAACTAACTTCCAAAACTTAATCATGAGATAACCTCAAATGTAAATCTCTAAGTTTCGATCCATCAAAAATAATATGCAAACACCAAAACTAAGAACCTACAATTTATATTACACAAGTGTGCATCTTTTCTTGTGTAACCCAAAACTCTATCACAAGACATCAGTTTGTGTCTTTGAGTTTGGGTAAATCAAATCACAAGAAAATAGTCAAATATTCGTAAAGTACTTAACCAAGTACCGTAAGTCGCAACCGTGGAATAGAACTTCAACAAAATAGCTAATCAGTCCAGACTGTAGGACTTTAGTCAGTTTACCACAGAAACATCACAGATACGATGGGTGGTAAATCATGACTCCATAAAAATACAAAATCTGCACACAATGCTGAATAAAATCTGGAGCAATACTCATTCTTGGTTTGACCTCAAACCACTACATGTAACTTCAAAGATAAAATAGAAAATACACAGATCCAGTTTACTACACAGTTTGCTAAAACACTTGTCTAAAGGTAGCAATAAAAGATGCAAAACTCTCCAATTGAATATCCTTTTAGAATCTCTCAGAACATCATTAACCTTGGTAATAATATACACAAAAATGCCAAAGTCTCTACTCTTATGAATTTGTCTAGACTCACTAAAATTTGTGAAGTCCAGACTTCATAGAAAAATCAATTTAAGCGATTCTCTTCACAACTTACAAAAGTCACAGTGAAAAGGTAATGATTATGATAATCTAAACATGATAAATAATTACTCAACTTACCTAAAACAGAGAGCCAACATTCGTGCAAAAAGGAGGGAACTTGGAATCAGGATCCTCCAATCGAACAACAAAAATGATGCAAAATGGCTGGTGAAAATGGCAGGCATGCAGTCAGCACGATGGCAGAATCAGGAATGCCAAGCTCTGCAAAAATTTTGGGGCAGCTAGCACCAAGACCATGCCCTGATCACATGACTAGCCAGGCTCTCATTGGTCAAACTTCAAATTGTCACACAAGACTCTAATACTGATTGGTCATTTAGTAACCAGGCAGATGAACACTCAGCAGAGTTTGTGGTTTTCACAGCTTCTGCAAGGTGTGATCAACAACCAGGGATTAAGTGTCCCTACATCCTGCTTAGCTCCTGAAGGAGTACACAACTGGGGCACCAGTCAGTAATAAAAGGCAGAGGACACAAAAGACATCCTCTATTCTTCCAGGAAGTGGGCAAGATCAAAGACAGGCTTTAACAAAAGTAGGAAAAGATCAAAGGTCTACTGGAACACAAGTCACCAGTAGAAAAGATGAAACATCATAAAAGATTAGAAAAGGGGAATTATGCAAATAGTAAACACAGTCATATAAAGTAATACTATAACCCAAGACCTCTTTTGGGGTCAGGGTTACATCTGAACATGGATTTTTCATAAGTTCTGACCTATCCAAAATTTATGCAGGGCTGATGGCGGTATCTCACTTGATGGTGGTCATGTTTATCTCAATGCCGTGCCAAAGACTGTTACCAAATTACTTGGCTAGCAGCTAGAAATTGCACAATATGTATGTACGTAAACACCCCTATAGTCTGCAGTGGGCCACTTGCCCCAATTCAATACCAACCAATACCAAGACCCGATTCAATACCAACCTCGTTCATAGGGTGTCGAGCAGTAGGCGCCCATCACTAACTGCTCTAGTATTAACGAGGTTGGAAATAAAGTAAGCACTGGGGACGAGGTTGATTCCAAACATACCCAACCATGCAGGTTGGGCTCATACATTGCCCGCAGATACCATGGAGGTTGCCCAAGTAGTCTTGTGCACAAGCAGGTTTATTGCGTTGTCCCAATTGGCAACCGATGCTCGTGGCATGTATTTTGACAAAATGAACCTGGTATCCCGCTCCATTTGCACGGCCCTCTGATTTTACGCGTGCTTCACTGGTCCCCATGAATATGGTGCTCCAATAGATGTATACACAAAACACAGTACATTGTACATGTGCGGTACTACTGTGTGCATGTGCCCCCGTAATAACGGGCAAAGGTTTAAAAGCAAACGAATCTGAGCGCAGGAGCTTTTTGAGTGGTCGGGCACAACCCGACCACTGTCCAGGATTGTTCTGATACATGTAAATCTTCTTTGTTTGGTGTTTTTTTTTCTGGACACTAATTCTCCACAAGTTTTCTCCTAAATGGTTTATGGTATGAACTTGTAACTTTCACTATATATTGACCCTCATCCCAAGTGGTGCATATTACTCTGAGGTCATGATGACGTCATCAGACCTGTGTCAAATTTACAAGCGATGTTAGCTGAAAAAGTGACCAACTTCTTTCACCTATAACTCTTGAATGAAATAATCAATGAATTTTTTTTTGTAATCAGATAGACCATTAAATGATAAACATTTTTGGATTTTGTACATGTACGTGAAGTTGCTTGACCTTTATACTTCCATGTCTACCGGAAGGTCAAAGATAGGTGAATTTAAAAAGAAGACATTAGCCTGAAATCAAAACAAATCAAAATTTCTTCTGAATGGTTTACGGGATGATAATGAAACCTAGTTTGATTTTGGAACCCAGTACGAAGATGTTAAAAATTTTTTGAGGTCATCATGACGTCATCGAGTATCAAATTACAAGTGAGTGAAGAGCACATTTTGACAAAATAGTTTGAGCTACATGTTTTGAACTCAATAGAGTATCATGTTCGTTTTTTCGTGAGGTTGTAGACTTTGCCTTGTAAATCATTTCTTTTTCCCTGACACAAAACCGCTTGACCTATACTTCCGGTGTTACCGGAAGTGCAATAAATAACTGAATATAACTTGAAAGCGGAAGCATTTTACTACAGACACATAAATTATGAAAGTGTTTGGTGAGGAATGTTAGACGCAAAAAACAGTGTGATGATGTCATAATCCAAAAGGGCGCTCCCTAGCTGCACTTAAAATGAAGTTTGCTTTCTTTAATTTTAAAACCATCTGTTCAATTTTTGCAAACTTGGCAAGGTTTCAAATTCATGACGTCATCAGACCGGAACTAAGTTACATTAAGGACAATTTGAAAACGATCTTATTTTAAACTTAATTTTATCATTTGATCCCTGTCTTATATCTTCGTAGCCCAAATAATGATATCCATTAGGCCCTACAATGTTTACCTTGGGATCTCTAATGCTGTGACGTCATCAAACTGGAAGTTAGGTGTTATTGATACATACACTTATATTTTCATATGTTATTTTAACTTCACATTGAACATTTATCCTCTGCGAACTCAATCAGTATTCACTTCCCGTTTGTGACTTATGATGTCATGAAACCAGAAATAACTTGTACGTGTACATAAAACGTTTACTGAAAGATATCACATTGATAAAATAATAAGCATTTTTTTAAACAAAATAATTGATTGTACTGGAAAGGAATTAATTTCGTGACCCTTTGTTCTGACATAAACATATAATAATAATAATTTGGGAGGCTAATTATCCTTCTCGCAGCTGGTATGCTGAATTGCGAAGGACGCAGCTACAACGTGGTTGGGCCGCTGGCACGTAAAGGCGCCTATGGCTGCCGGCCACATCGACCCATATATGACCACAGAGCACAGCCTGAGATCGAAAGTGTTTGATTTTTCCGGAGGGCGGAAAACCGGAGGGCCCGGAGAAAAACCCTCGTGGTACAAGAGAGAACCAACGCACAACTCTACTCACATGCAATCCGCGTCCAGGATTCGAACTGTGGTCACCTTGGTGGGAGGTGAGCGCTTTACGCACAAACCACCCATGCCACCCTAACTGGGCAGTGTTTAATGAAATAGTTGTCTGCCTGAACACTCTGTGTTTGTAACTCGACAAACACGAACCTCTAGTTTTTTGTTCGACCGGTATCTTTTAATTAAAAAAAAGTGAATTTCGATTTTCATAAATTTTCCTTGACCCACCCACCAACATTTTCGGAAAAAAACATTTAAAAACAAAAATTTTAAAAACATCAACAATTTTGAATGGCCCCTAAATTAAACAAGGAAATGGTGACCTCCTAGCTGCTTTTCCCAATCAATTTGAGCCGAACTGCCCGAAGAAGAGAGCAGCGAAAACACAGATACTTCAACTGGTTCAGCTGAACACACCGGACAACACAGCACTGATTTAGTGGTAGGGCTACGACGTTTCCGTAAGAAAATATGGATGGTTTATCCAAGGACTCCAAATATTATGTTCATTATAAAACTTTCAGATGAGCATCAAAAGTTCTACTGCAATTTTTGTAATAACTACATGTAACAAGCAATTCCAAAGTTATTCTGGTAATATTCAGTCCAAAGAGACGACATATCGTCAGGTTAGCATTGTCGCGGGCCATGGTCAAGCCCCTGGCGTTGCTTGGTGCTTTTTATGTATACTTGCGCTACATAAAAAGTAGTCCTTTTCTCTTTTCTTTCTTTCTGAATTTGAACTTCTTTTTTTTTACAACCTGATTCAATAAATATGAAGTTACTCAAATTTTGAAATTGTTTGCTTTATGTTTACCAAAAAAGCTGTAAACAAGGCCAGGAGACCACACAAGTCATGTACCGTTTTACCAAGATTTGCCATAGACAAGTGGTCCAAAAACAGTCTTCCAAATAAATCATTAACAAAAACATATCTCAGTTATTTCTTGTCCGATTTTAAAAATTCAAACGGCTATTTGTAAAGAATTACCTCAACTTTGAAGATGTACAAAACATAACTCTCCTACTTTTTAGTACTTACACTTTGAAAATTGGTTTGGAGATGGCTCATTACACAGTCGCTTTACCATCGTGACGGGCGTCGGTACCCAGTGCGGTTGCTGTTGTTTTTCTGTACAGCCATGCAGCAATTCCAAATTCTTTCTTGAGCAAAGAAGATGGTACAAAGTCTGCCCCTACAAAATGTACAGTGCACATAAGCGACCTATCTGTTTGGCCGGAATTTTGATCTCGTGTTTCAGACAAATCGCATCCACTGGTGCCGACGGGAAAATTGGAAATTTATATATATAAAAAAAACTTGTATAGGGGTGGACCCGTAAACGTGGCTATATATCGTACATAGCCACTCTCCATTCATACATGTATCTCTGGCCTTTCAATGTGTTTAAAATCCCGGTTGGAGACCTTCCGCATACAGTCCGGAAATGTTCAATACTTACATAAAAGATTATCCAAGAACTTCCAGTGGCATAGGATCTGTCATAACTCATTCCAAAGAAATTTGAGGGAAAAATGGAGCCTAACAGGAACGGGTCTAGCATCAGGGCTGTTGTTTGTGGTGTGATTACAGCCACCGACAACACAATTAACGGACACAGCTTTGCTTTGGCTTAGGCCCTAGCCTTGTCTGATGCATTGGCTACCCGTACATATCAACGACGATTTGTTTTTAAAAAATTCTGACAATTTTTCCCGCGTCTTTGTTTCTGCAGCACAAGTGCACACGTGAATTTTCAGCCTTAGTATTCAGAAGCAAAAGCTTTTCAAACAGAAAGAGAAACAACTTCTTCCACATGTTTAAAATTTTCCATTCTTTGTGGCTGCAGTCATCCAGTGTCATGCCTGCATTGTCCATTACAGTGGAAAGATAAGATGCAGTTGTCAAGCTTGACTGGATAAGCTGATACTTCAGCAGCTGCAATCCTACCAGAAAGGCCTTTGAAGTTTTGCTAATGCCGCCATGTTTGCAATTTATTTGTGTAGTGTCTGGACAGAAAGTTCAAACAATGTTAGACGGGCATGTTTCTCCTTGGCTGTTTTGGGGAATTGAATTCTACATCATCATGCATATTTTTTTGCCAAAATACAGTTCCCAAGAATATCAGCGACAAGAAACAAACATATGTCAGGGCTTGGTTATGACCACCAAAACATACCCTTCTTAGGCTTCTTCACTCATAGAGCAATATTCCCCGTGAGATTCTTGCGAGGTGCACGTGCAATTAATGGGAAGGGACTCGCCTGAATCATAGGATGCCGAACCGTTCGGGGGAATTGAAAAAAAAAAATATTCAAAGGAAAGCGTAATATGAAAGCCATGATTTCTCATCATGGAGAATACCCTTGTACGATCTTGCAGTGAACACAACACGTGTTTATACAAAAGCTCCCGTAAACCCGTGTGGCCGTACATGTCAGTGCATACGCACCGCGTACGGTTTCACACCTGGTTCCACACAGCATAATTGACACACATGCTTTTGTTAAAAGAATCTGATTTGTCATCTAAAACGACATTCAGAACTTTTTCCATTCATGTTTTGGTATGGTTGGTCCGTTGGTTAATAATTAAGGTCGGCACCGATAACTCCATATTAGGGCCTCCTCATTGTGGCTAGC